CTCATAGTGCCAATTTCAAGGGGCTAAAATTTTACTTTCCAACTGACCTAAGTTAAAATTAAAATTCATTTTCAAGTTTTATTAAAAACAGGAAATGTTTATGTCTTCAAACTTTATAGCCTGTGTACATTTTTCAAAACTCTCAGAATAAGACGAGTCACTAACCTCCAAAACCGGTAATATGCTGAGTAGTATATACACTAAATAATTTGTACAAAGAGGTCTAAAATACACTGAATAATTTGTACAAAGAAAGAGGTCTAACATACACATAATTCAAAAAGGAATAAAGTCTTAAAAACTTAGTATAATTAGAATATATTCTGGATCAGTAAACATGAAGGCAAAAAAGGACTTTTTTGGTTAGAATATCACACCCACACCCACACCCCCCTCAGCATCTATAATCTTGTTGGCACCAGGGACCAGTTTTACACAAGGTGATTTTTCAACTGACCCAGGGGGCAGAAGGTGGTTGCAGATTGGTCCAAGCACATTATATTAAATATCCACAGGGCTTCTACTATTACACTGTAATATATAATGAAATCATTCGACAACTCAATGTAGACTCAATAAAAAGCCCAAGTTCTAACTGGACAGTACCATTAGGGGGTGATGATGTGACACAGAGACACCCAGGGTCTGTTGTGTTCATTCAACCCCAAAATCTGGTTTCAGTTGCTGTCACTCCAGAAAGCCCTGCTTCACAAAGGTAGGCTTTTGGAAATGGAAGCTACAGTGCTTCTGCAACAAATTCCGGACATTCCACCTGGACTTTAATCCACAATGTGTGAAAAACTTGAAGTGGTCTCAGATGTACTTTTTAAGGCAATTGCCATTTGAGATCTAAGGAATTGTAATCCTAACAGAAAAATCCATTTGCCTGGTTTACTAACAAATGGCTCAGGACCCAGGCCTTCCCATTGGGGCAGGCGGCTTCTGTGGTTGAGGGTAACACTCCAACTCTGGAAAGCAGGGATAGATGATCGTGCGCCAGCTGAGACAAAGATGGTCATGGCTCAGTGTCTTTCAAAAATCTCTAATTATTGAAACATGCCAGAAATGCCAATATTATCGTTCCCATAATACCAGCTTGGCTTTGAATACAGCCACTTTATCTGTCAACTTGGACACAGTTGTCATCACCTGATGTGACAGACTCTGTTTGTTGTGCAGGGTGGAGATGTTATACAAATAAGCAAGTTTTGGAATCCTTTTATGTCTTTGAAATGTACTGGCAGTGGCGACTGTTATTCTAAAAGACATCTCTGGGGTGGCTTTCGTAAAACCCACAAAATCTGGCTACCTCGCTTCTGTGTACAAGAGGAGGTGTGTGTGTGCTGTGTGGACAGATGTTGAGTTAAGGACATGTACTTTAACACAGTTGGTGATTTTAATCACATGCTGCAGATGTTAAGTTCAGGTGCCATTTTTTGGCTAGCCTCCATTCCTCCTGGATGACACAGTGTAGACTCAATTTCAGAAATTACCCCTTTGACCCAAGTAGTGCAACTGAAAAGCCGTCCCAGTGTGACAGAGGCTCCATCTATATGTATACTGACACAAAATGACCGGTTCCGTTTTCTTGACCTGTAATCAAGAGACTTGAATACCATGCAGCTGTGGTATTGGTTGGCAACCAAAGTGCATATAACACAGCCTTCTGCACATCCCCCTCAAAGTTATGTTGTACAAAAACAAGCGCTGTTACCTGGCTGTCAACATCAGTAAATTTATCAACCTGGATTAGCTACCATGGTGACTCAGTTATCCCCTCTAACAGTGTGCTTCTGTGTCCTCTGCTGTTTCCTCCGTTCATCTCATTGTAGTGCTGGTTGAAAGAGGAGCACGTGTCACCTTTGAACTACAGCTTCTGTGGGCGTTGTGGCAGCACATCTACTAAAACCAAATTGCACCATCTCCTAACAGCTCATGACAAATGTCCTTCTCAGCCAGCAGGGTCAACTCTTCCAATGCCAAGGACCTGCTTCTCTTTAGCAATGCAATTAGCTACTGAGAATGACCTCTCGGTACAGACACATTTGAAGAAGTGGTGGCCTTTGACAACTGCTTCTGCTCACCGGTTCTCATTGTTTTCTTTTGAAAAGTTCCAAAGGCTTGTCTTATGGTGCAGGTGCTTGTTTCCATGTGGCGAAGGTTTCATGAGTTGGGTAGCCGGTCACCACATACTGTGCAAAGTGGGTCTGGAGAATGTGAGCCACCTGTTTCAGTGAACCCATAATTTAAGTGGGACTCTTGGTATTTTAATTGCGCTTTTTTGGTTGGCATTCCTCCAGTGTTTTTTTGTTTTGTATGTCTTTTTCTGAACTTGGTGGCATTTGATTTTTCCTTGTTTTGTTTCTAATTATTTTCCCTTGTCTTTTCAGCGTCTCGTGTTGGTTCGCGGTTCGACCGTGGTTCTTCCTTTTGTTGGGTCATCTGTGGCCTGAGATTCTTGTCGTATTCTGACCTCAAGTGTGCTTGTGAGTGCCTGAGTTTGCTTGTTGTTTGTCAGCTTGTTTGTGTTTGTTATTTTTAGGTTGAGCTGCGGTTTTTGTGTTGGTGCTGGCTCATGGTTTTGAGGTGTTTGTTAGCATTTGGTTTGTTTTTTTCTTTGCGATCCCATCTTTCTGCTATTGTTTGTCTGCTGTTGGCAGTCATTCTTGAGTGGTGGGTGTTCCGCTTCATCTGGTGGTCAGCTTTTCGGGGGTTAATATTTTTCTGCGGTTTATTTTTCTTGCTTTCTTTGCTGGTGGGGTTTGGTTCATGGTCTTGTGCTTATTTTATTCTACTTTTGGTCTGCCCGTTTTCTTTGGCTTTTTGTTGTTTGTTTGGTTGGGTGTCTTTTTTTCAGTTTCGTTTGGCTCCTTCTCACTTGACTTTGTCTTCCTGCTGTGTGGCTTTTTTTTTGACAGGCCCTGTGCCGTCGTTGCTGATTTTTGGCCTGGGGGTTGAGGGGTTGTGATTAAAATACCAAGAGTCCCACTTAAATTATGGGTTCACTGCAACAGGTGGCTCACATTCTCCAGACCCACTTTGCACAGTATGTGGTGACCGGCTACCCAACTCATGAAACCTTCGCCACATGGAAACAAGCACCTGCACCATAAGACAAGCCTTTGGAACTTTTCAAAAGAAAACAATGAGAACCGGTGAGCAGAAGCAGTTGTCAAAGGCCACCACTTCTTCAAATGTGTCTGTACCGAGAGGTCATTCTCAGTAGCTAATTGCATTGCTAAAGAGAAGCAGGTCCTTGGCATTGGAAGAGTTGACCCTGCTGGCTGAGAAGGACATTTGTCATGAGCTGTTAGGAGATGGTGCAATTTGGTTTTAGTAGATGTGCTGCCACAACGCCCACAGAAGCTGTAGTTCAAAGGTGACACGTGCTCCTCTTTCAACCAGCACTACAATGAGATGAACGGAGGAAACAGCAGAGGACACAGAAGCACACTGTTAGAGGGGATAACTGAGTCACCATGGTGGCTAATCCAGGTTGATAAATTTACTGATGTTGACAGCCAGGTAACAGCGCTTGTTTTTGTACAACATAACTTTGAGGGGGATGTGCAGAAGGCTGTGTTATATGCACTTTGGTTGCCAACCAATACCACAGCTGCATGGTATTCAAGTCTCTTGATTACAGGTCAAGAAAACGGAACCGGTCATTTTGTGTCAGTATACATATAGATGGAGCCTCTGTCACACTGGGACGGCTTTTCAGTTGCACTACTTGGGTCAAAGGGGTAATTTCTGAAATTGAGTCCACTGTGTCATCCAGGAGGAATGGAGGCTAGCCAAAAAATGGCACCTGAACTTAACATCTGCAGCATGTGATTAAAATCACCAACTGTGTTAAAGTACATGTCCTTAACTCAACATCTGTCCACACAGCACACACACACCTCCTCTTGTACACAGAAGCGAGGTAGCCAGATTTTGTGGGTTTTACGAAAGCCACCCCAGAGATGTCTTTTAGAATAACAGTCGCCACTGCCAGTACATTTCAAAGACATAAAAGGATTCCAAAACTTGCTTATTTGTATAACATCTCCACCCTGCACAACAAACAGAGTCTGTCACATCAGGTGATGACAACTGTGTCCAAGTTGACAGATAAAGTGGCTGTATTCAAAGCCAAGCTGGTATTATGGGAACGATAATATTGGCATTTCTGGCATGTTTCAATAATTAGAGATTTTTGAAAGACACTGAGCCATGACCATCTTTGTCTCAGCTGGCGCACGATCATCTATCCCTGCTTTCCAGAGTTGGAGTGTTACCCTCAACCACAGAAGCCGCCTGCCCCAATGGGAAGGCCTGGGTCCTGAGCCATTTGTTAGTAAACCAGGCAAATGGATTTTTCTGTTAGGATTACAATTCCTTAGATCTCAAATGGCAATTGCCTTAAAAAGTACATCTGAGACCACTTCAGGTTTTTCACACATTGTGGATTAAAGTCCAGGTGGAATGTCCGGAATTTGTTGCAGAAGCACTGTAGCTTCCATTTCCAAAAGCCTACCTTTGTGAAGCAGGGCTTTCTGGAGTGACAGCAACTGAAACCAGATTTTGGGGTTGAATGAACACAACAGACCCTGGGTGTCTCTGTGTCACATCACCCCTAATGGTACTGTTAGAACTTTGGCTTTCTACTGTTTGTGTTGTGGGGAGTTGTGCAAATATTTAACTATATGTTGAAATGTAATATGATAGATGTATAGTATACAATAAATATAATATGCTCTAATCATCTCCTGCCTCGAATCTGAGGGAAAATTATCTTCCATTAACTGTGACTGGTGCCAAAAAGATTGGAGATAACTTTTTAAATGCAGTTTTTCTTTTTGATTTAAATGTAGTCTTTAAGTTTCGTGCTGCTTCATTGCTTCTTGCTCCTATTTCAAAGGAAACTTTCTAGTGACTTGTTTTTTACTGAGTTTGGCTAGGTATAGCTTGTCACCAAACCTATGAAGTGTGCAGTGTGGGAGAGGCAAGGACTAAGTAGTTACTGAAATAATGGGTGGGCCACGTACACACTGAAGACTGTGTCAGATTCTGACTTAAAAGCCCACCACCAGACATAGCTGTACCATTGAAGTTCATCAACTTAACTGCCACTATAAGCCTGCTGCCATCAGATGTAGCTTCCCATTCATTCATAAGGGTTTTTTTCATTTGTAAGTTTTTGAGAGGAGTCTGCATGCATCTGGTTTATTTTGGTCTCCCTACAATCAAACCTCTAATGTTAATTTGTATTTGTGGTTGCTCTCCACCTCAGGTCATCAAGCATTAGATTCTTACAAGAAATACAGAACTTTGATCCCTCATATGTACGGTTCACATTAGGGTTTGTGGTCCTATGAGAATCCAATGCCACTGCTGATCTGACAGGAAGCAGAGGCTTTGTGGTAATGGGAAAGATGGGGAGCTCCTTAATCAGTCTGCTCAGTCTCCTGCCACTCACCTTGTGCTGTGTTGCCTTCTGGCAACCAGGTCATGGGTGGGCAGTGGCATCAGTATGTGGTCTTGGGATTGGGAACACATGATATCCAGAATATATATATTCTCCTATGCTTTTTAACCATATTATATGAAATTTGACACTCTTATATGTTCACATGTTATATATATATCTATCTCAGTATATCACATATGTAACATGTTTCTATACAGTACATTTGTAATGCTAATACTTTAATAACTAACATAACTTTATATAAAGGAACACCCCAAAATATGTACAAGTATTTCTCAAATTTAGCACCTCCATTGTAATTATATTTCATTTTCTTACCTGTTCGGAAATGTGATGTTGATTTGTGATCTCCTATAACAAGACGACCGGTGTGTTCCTTCTATGAGGCAGAAAATGTATTAGAATTGAGACTTCTAATTTAACTAATTATTACCAACTAGAAACTAGTCCAGACTTCTGGCATACTATGAACGAAAGGAAAGAGATCCTCATCTTTATAAATCTCACATTTTAGTAAGAGTAGAGATGGGGAAGGGAAGACAAAATGAATATATACATTATAGCACAGTAGAAGTAACAAGTGCCATTAAGAGGAGAATAAAAGGGGATAAGGTATAAAGTGGGGCAGTGATCAGATCAGAAGGTTTTTTAGACAGGGTCTTGCCATGTAGTCCAGGCTGGCCTTAAACTTACAGCAATCTTTCTGCCTCAGACTTCCAAGTGCTGGGACTACAGGCATGCACAGCCCAGGTAAGAATTTTAAGTGAGATGGACAGATAATTACAAAATTAAGTCAATCTGAGCATTTTCTTTCCTACAAGTACAGTTATGAGTTGTTTTACATTTCCTACCAATTCTTTCTGATGCTGTAGGACTTTCATAAAGTAAACAGATTTAAGTAGATAAAAAAATAACTGAGACTTGTAATGTCCAAAGTGACAAATGTTTAAGACAAAAAATAAAATCACCATTACTTTTGGGGGATGTTTCAAGACAAGATCTTTCTCTGTAGTGCTGGCTGCCTTTGAATTCATTATTACAGCACACACAGGCTGCCCTCACATTTGTGACCCTCCTGCCTCAGCCTCCCAAGTTCTAGGATTATGAGTGTGCGCCATTACGCCCAGCTTAAAAATAATCAGTATTATATACAATATGCTGCAACCAAGTAGCTAACTCTTTAATATCAGACTACAATTAACTAATCACAACTTTAGAACAAAATGTAAAACTGAATACTATAAAATATAAAGTAATTTTATTGAAAATAACCAATATTGATCAAATATCTCTATGTATATATGTATATGCATAGACACACACACCTGGGTATTTATCGGTGTAGTCTACTTGTGTGTGGTACTGGGTACTGAATACAGGGCCATGTACATGGTAGGCATGCACTGTATTTCTCAGCTACATCCCTAATACTTTTAAAATTTTAAGTCAAGGTCTCATCAACTTGCTTAGTCTGGCCTCAAACTTGCAACCCTCCTGCCTCAGCTTCCTGAGGCACTGGGATGATAGGTATGTACCATTGTATCCAGTAGTCCAGTCCACTCCTGATTGCTCATATTTAGTTTCAGATGGTAAAGAAATGATTAAAACAAACTGAAAGATTAAATAGGATTTTCTTTGCAAAGCAATCTTATTTATTTACTTATGCCTCCCCAGCACTGGATTACAGGCCTGTGTTGCTATACCCAGATTCTAGCTGGCTCAGCCTGCCCTGGGGGCAGGGCTGGTGTGGCATATGGTGCCAGGGATCAAACCCTGGCCCCTGTGCGTACCTAAGCAGGCATTTTAGTCTGCTGAGCTATCTTGTAGACCCTGCAAGATAACCTTAACCAATTATGTGTGACTATCTACTAGCAAATCTTCCAATTGTGAAACAGTGGCCATGATATACTACTTAAAAAACTCTAGTATGTTATTGCTTTATATGCTATCAACACTTATGCAAATCAATGGTACAGTGTACTACTGCTTTAGAACGTAAGATAAATACTCCATTAGTAAAATGTGAATGTAAACATAATGGCACTGAGTTATTCTAGGATGATGATAACCAATAAAATATTTAAGCTAGCTGGTTAGGGTCATCAATATACTTTGTAGCTACAAAGCAGATAAATAACCTAAGTTGGGTGTGGTGGCATGCACCTCTACTCCCAGCACTCTGGAAGGCTGAGGCAGGAGAGTGGCATGTTTAAGCCTAGCCTGGGCAACTTAATGAGAACTCATCTCAAAATAAAAAAGGGCCAGCCAGATAGCTCAGCAGATTAGAGCATCTGGTTAGGCAGACCCAGGGACCCAGCACCTCCAGCGTGCTGTGCCAGGGCCCTGTCTCCAGGGTGTGCTGAGATGGCGACTGAAACTGGGTGTGGTTGTGCCTGCCTGTAATCCCAGCACTTGGGAGGCTGAAAATAGGAGGATCATTCCCAGTCTGATCCGTATAGTGAGACCCTGTACCAAATACATTAAAAAAAACAACACCTCCCCCCGCCTCAAAAAACAGGCTACAGATATAGTTTGGTAAAAATGTTCTGGGTTTGATCCCTAGTCCTATAAAAATTTATACAAATGCTCTTTTCATGTAAATTTTTCTATTTTACATGACCACTCCCTCTCCTCGGGTATAAACTACCTTTTCATTCTTTCAGAGTCACATCAACTTCAGATGTAAATCCATTTTATCGCTGGGAAGCTATTTTGAACCTCTAAGCCAGCATTAGCTGCCCTTCCCTATGATTCCACATAATGATTATAATTCTGTATTGTTATTATCAGTATTTCCTCTACTACATGATGGTTCCAAACACAAGTTATTGATCTGTGATCCCTGGACCCCATTCAATGCGTGGATACAGCAGGTGATCATTAATTGTTGGTAAGATACATCAATGCATTCCCCTATATAATAAAAATAAATGGCAGAATTTCATTTTAAGATGGTTTAAAAAAGAAACAAAGCTTCTCAGGCTGAGATACAAGGGCTCCTGCATGGGTAACTCGGCAACTCAGGAAGATTCTGTCTCAAAACACAAGAGTGACTTGGGATATAGTGGTTTTGGATTCAATCAGGACTTTTAAGCAAATAAATTACTAGAAATTTAAAAAAAAATTTTAAATTCTATTTCTTTCATATTTACTTTGTAGGGAGATTACTGTGAAAAAGTTGTTGAAGTTTACTTGCTCACATAAAAGTAAATACCCAGAAATAAATGTCTAGAGACTACTGTAATTGAGTGTAAAAATAAAACTGCAAGGAAAAAAGAAAGTTTTTTTTTTTAAACCAACTGGTAGCTTTCTGGGCCTTGAATTTCATACTTTACATTAATTAATCTAAAAGGTATTTCAAAAACACATTAAACATTTTTAAAATTAGGTCTTTACATAAAAAAATAGTTGTTGATTTCTAATTCAAGAACTGGAAACAGCTATGAAATACAAGAGACTTTTGATATCAGTTCCTACAAGGTAACTGCACAGAAATGGTTTCTATCGAAGTCACCAGGCTAACAGATAGCAAATCAAAAACTTTAATATCTCTTCTCTCTAAACTGTCTCCAATCTTATTACTAAAGACACTGAGAAATCTAGAAGTAGTTCAGAAATAGTACACATTTTAAGCACTAAGTTAGGCTGGCTGTACTTCACAAAGAAATCATACCAAACAAGAAAATGTGATTTAAATGTATTCAGTCCTTATGATTTAACAAACATATGAAAAGCATGATTTTTACATAAAAAACCATGAGGTGCATACCATAAGATGCTTACCTTTCCTGCACCCATAAGTCTGAGGAACTTTTGTTTTCTCTCTTCACTGCCCAAGTCTGCTGCCTCCCAATTGCTAGATCCAAGCTGGAAGAGAAATCAGTCACTTTTTTTTTTTTTGGCATAAAAATAAGTACTGAAAAATTTAAAGTTTACCTATAGTTCCAGGTTTCTTTTGTCAGTTTCATTTTTTTCCCATAATTTTATTGATAAACAAATAGCAATGAGGGAGTTTCAAATCAATTTGGTAGGACAGTTTCAATAATACACATATTGCATACATTCTTCCTAGTGGTTAATTGCTGTACAAGATGTGGACAAGATATCCTATTTACAAACACCATTAGAACAAATCACTCTATTAAGAGAATGTAACTATATATCTATCCTAACCACTTTGAATACACAGATACAAAATGGACATTCATCTGTATGCCCCTTTATTTTGTTTTTTTTCTTTTCAAAGTTTTATTTCCCCCTTTATTTTGTTAAGTTCCGTTATTTGAATATTATAGGTGTGTAAACTCAGCAAAATATTCTAAAAGAGTCCAGTAGCCCATAATAGTACTGGGTCTTTCACTTGACTGGCAATGTCAGAAATTGTTGACCTGAGTCCCCTACAGCTCAACATAGCAGCATAGCTTTACTTCTTATATTTGGTTTTATACTTTTCTGCTGGATGGTTAAGACCAAGGTAAAGCAGGACCTATGCAACAAGAGTTGTAGCTTTTGGGTCTGATAAGGTCAGTGAAATCCCCTCAGGATTTATCCTGAGATCCTGTACCTCAGATTGTAGAACCTTTGTCAGTTGTCAGCCATGTGGATGAGTCACGGCCATTGCTTGGCCAATGTGCTCTCTGTGAAAGCCTGAGAGAATGTTTTCTCTCCAAGTGACTCTTCTTAGGCACACTCTACATCATCGATCACTTTCCCCTTTGGCCCCATAATCTCCTTGATCAGAAAATTTGGGACCCTACTGAGTCACATGACATTACAGTACAGGTTCTCATATGTCTTGAGTCTTAATAGACTCAAGAAGGCTAGGGCCAAAATGTTGGCTTTCCTTGCGGCCCTCTTTTTTCTCTAATTTTGGTCTGCAAACTTAGGTTGTTAACCATCCAGAAGACAGCTTATTGTTATTACCATACAACCTAGGCTGTTAAGCTTAACCTCACTATCTGTCTGCATATCAAACATCTTAGGTATAGCATGGAATAGGTATTTTTCATTGAGTATTGATATGTTGAACTTTAAGTCCCTCTTTTGTCAGTTTTAACTATTAACAGGGTTCATCATTTTTGCTTAGTCTAAGCATATGCTTCAAACTCAAATTCAAATATACTCCTTTTCTAATATCTCCTGGTAGAACACTTCTTTTCCAGCTGAGTTCTGTGACTCAGAAACTGCTATGAAAGGACCAAAAGAGAGCTCAGCAGACTAAGCGCTTGCTTAGGTAAGCACCGGGGCCAGGGTTCCATCCCTGGCACCACATGCTGCACCAACCCCACCCTCGGGCATGCTGAGCTGGCAATGGAGTCTGGGCATGGTAGTGCATGCCTGTAATCCCAGCAATGGGGAGGCAGAAAACAGGAGGATCACTACAAGTCAGAGCTATGTAGTGAGACCCTGCACCAAAACAAACAAACAAACAAACAAACAAACAAAAAACAGCTATGAATCAAGAGTCATCTAATGGACTGGTCTGCACACTCAGAATTTCAGTATCAGGATTAGAATTTCTAACAGAGCTCTGAACAATACTGATGCTATGGAGACCACAATTTAATACCCACTCCTGGAGCCTTTTGAAGGAACTTACAGCACACACCTAGTACTCTGAACCAAGAAGGCTGCCACAATTGCTAGTTTAAATTAAAAAACTTCTGGCTTTAGTGACATACTAAGGGACAGCATATCATTAGATCTACTGAACCCAATAGTAATCTTTCAGTAATTCTGTTAGAAGTGAAATGCCATAACTTCTTTCCTAAAAGTCTTCCTTAGAACAAAGAGAAAAATTATTTTCTAAAAGGATAAAAAGTAAGATTCACTTTATCTTGTAATCATCAATAAATCTAGTGGAATCTTTCATAAATCTAAGCAATATTAATGGACTCCAGTGACTATATTTTCCCCTATATCTTGGAACAAGTGTATAAATGAAAATTAAATGTGCAAATTAAAACAAGTACAAATGTATAATCCATCAATTATTCCAAGAAAGCTAAAAATGACTAAAAGAATAAGAAACTAGAAAGCTGGAAGCCTTTTCTCATTGTGTCCCAAGTAAATATTGTACCATATTTCAAGAAGATACACAGTTTCCTGCTTTTAGAATTCAATGCTCACAGTTGAGAATTTACAATTTTTCATTTTCCACTCATAACAGCAAAGAAAACTAACAAGTATTGGATAAACCAAAACCAAAAAACCTGAAACCACCACCACTACCACCAAAGCCTCAAAACCAGATGAATACAAAATGACAGGGAAAAGTAGCACAGACTAAAAATGAGGGTCAAATTAACTACATACAACAATCTCAGACAGTGAATCTTTCTTTGGATGATGTAATACTAGATGACTTTTCTCCAATCCAAGACAAAGCAAAAAAAAAAGGGGCAGGGGGATAAAAAGAAATATGGTTCTCTCATCTTGAGTCAGCCAACCGGAAGGACTTCATCTTGCAGTATTTGGTCTCAGGAGCTAGGCTAACCTCAATCTTTTAAGTTTATACAAGCAAAAGTCAGTTGATTTGGTTTTGGCAGAAGTGGGTATTGAACTCAGGCCCTTATGCTTTCAGGGAAGGGCTTATTCTACTAAGCCATATCCCCAGCAGTTGATTTGGTTTGTAAGCGAACAAAGACTAAAGAAGACAGATGTGTATATAAAGATGACTGAAAGGGAAAAGATAAAGAAATGAAAACACTGAACTGATCATTTTGAGTATATAATCTACAAAATGAAAACATTTTACAATTAAAGAGCAAAGATCAACAAATACCTCTTTAACACAAAGTTGTAAATAATCAAAGGTCTAAAAAAATTATTAGCTGGGTAGTCATGCACTATGGTAATCTCAGCATTCAGGGGGCTAAGGCAAGAGGATTACTCTGAATCTGAGGCCAGCCTGGGATACACTGAGTTTAAGGCCAGCATAGATAGAATACACAGTAAGATCCTATCCCAATAAATAAACAAATAATTATATTTTGGTCATGTACATTTAAGAATTAGAAGTAATGAAAAAGCTAAAACCTATTAGAAATAGACATAAAATCTTAAACTATACATTCTGGTTCACACATGATAGATGAGAAATTAGGTATAATGAGAAGGCATTTATATCATCAAATCAGAAAATGTAGAACAGAAATTTGAGTTTGCTATTGTTAAGTTCATATTAAAATTGCTGATGTCATTTTTCACTATTTCTGAAAATTACTCATAGAAAACCAAGAACTTCTTTTCATGGGCCCAAGGGCAAAAGTCTTTGTACTAGACTGGACCCACTGTGGTCTCCTATATTCTTCTGGTGAAAGGGATCATGTTTTCATAATTTTGGCAACCTAAACTACAAATCTGTACTTCTTCACACGTGACAATTCACACCTTTTTATAAATCATTCATCTTTCAACTATTTCTGGCTTAATATAGTTTTTTAAAAAGTACCAGTGACACTCCATTCTTCAGTTGCACTAAATCTCTTGCTCCCTGTGAGCCTATATTTGACATTTACTTAGTTTAAATTCCTTATCTACAAAGACAAAAGAGTTCTTTAAAAAACTGTCAGGAACACTAACTCCAAAGAACTGCATGTAGGTTGAACATCCCTTAACTCTGAAAGCCTGAGCAGCAAAATCCAAACCTTTTTGAGTTCTAAAATGATGTCAATGTGAAAAATTGCACAGAGGACCTTTTGTGACAGATCAAAACAACACTAAAAACAATGTAAGAAAATATCTTAGGCCATGTTTTAAAGTTGTTGATTAAATGAATGGTTATGTATGGTGGTACATGCCTGCACACCCAGTGCTTAGGCTGATGAGGAAAAAGGATCACTGTTAAGTTGGAGGCCAGCCTGGGCTACAAAGTGAGTTTAAGACCAGCCTGAACTGTATAGTAAAACTCCATCTCAAAAAGTTAAAAAAAAAAAAAAAGAAATGGATTTCCTGGGCTGGTGAGATAGTTCAGTGGTCTAAAGTGCCTGCTTAGGCAGGCGCAGAGGACTGCAGTTCGATCCCCAGCACCATATACTGCGCCAGCCCCGCCCTCAGGGTGGGCTGAGCGGGCAAAAAATAATAATAATAAAAGAAATAAAAGATAAAGTCTAAGAACTAAATTTAAAAAAAAGAAATGGATTTCCTATTTAAATTTGGATTCTATCTTCAGATATCTCATGTAAATGCATATATTCCCAAATTAAAAAAACAGAATCTCAAATCCAAATTATTTCTGGTTCTAACCATAAGGGATTCTCAACCTGGACTGTTTTATAACTTATAATTTCTTTTTCCAGTACCAAGGAACTTGGGACCCTGTGAATGCCAGGAAGATGCATACACTACTGAGCTATATCCCTGGCCCTTATGAATAATTTTTGGCTTACATTCTCTCAAGAGCTTGTCATAACTGTCAGTTAAATACTTAAAGGCATAGAGATGTAGATATTTGCTTTACTTCTCTTGTCATAAATCCTCTAGCTCTTTTTCACATCAAACTGTACACAACCAAATTAGGATACTGGGAATACATGAGGTCTGTAGTTATAACTGTCTACAAATTAACTTTCCTGATTCTTTATTTCTATTAAAAAAGCAAATAGGTTGGGCTGTAGATTGGAGGGAGTGCAAGTTTAGAATGAACAAGGCCATGATTCAATGCATAACACTCTCTGCAAAGGCACAATATTTTTAAATAATCCTACTTTCTTCATTTCTAATCTTATTTTTTAAATTACTGTCTTAAAGAGCGAATACCTTGCCAAAACATTACAGTGTCAAAAGCACAAGGGTGCCTAATGTGTCAGAAGTTATCCACTAGTTACTCAAATGAATTTCTCTACTCCCTGTAATATTCATTTCTCCACTCCAACCAAACCAATGAAACCATTAAGTTATATTCATCCTCAATATTCCTTTTTTTCTTTCCTTTCTGTTGTTTTGGGACAGAGTGTAGTTCAGGGTAGCCTTGGACTCATCATGTAGTCTAGGCTGGCTTTAAATTCATGGCAATCTTTCTGCCTCAGTCTGCTGAGTGCTGGAGTTATAGGTGTATGCCACAACATGTATGTAGCTCATGCTCAATACTGATTACTACAGAACTGCAAAAATAATTTTCTTCAATATATATCCTAGTGACTTTTACTTAGTATTTATTTATTTATTTTTTTTTGTAATTTTTTTTTTAAATTTATTTGAGAGAGAGAGAGAGAGAGAGAGAGAGAGAGAGAGGGGTGTGTGTGTGGCCAGCTCAGCCCACCAGGGGGCGGGGCTGGCTGGCATGTGGTGCTGGGGGATTGAACCGCGGTCCCTGATGCTTTGCCAAGCTTGTTTTAAGTAGGTGCTTTAGACCACTGAGCCATCTCTCCAGCCCCTTTACTTAGTATTTACTTCTTCACTTCAGCATTTTTTTACAGTTGTATGCTGTGACTGAATACTTATTTTAATATCACAAGATTGTTTTATTAAGTATACGTGAGGAAAATGAGCAAAAAGCCTTCAATTATCTTTTAAATTCAGTGGACATTCATTAAAAATGGTTGGCACAGCACCTACTGTGTGGGCCCAGAACCGGGCATGTTGGCACATGCCTTTAATCCCTGAACTTGGGAGGGTGAGACACGAGGATCTCTGCAAGTTCAAAACCAACCTGGGAGCAACAAAAATGAGCACAAGGCTAACTTCAACTGCATGGTGAGATGCTGTCTCAAAAAAGTTGACACATTATTTTTGGTTGTAATTCTACAATTTCTAAGACAATTTTAAAGATGCAGTTTTAAAAATATTTAAAAGTTAAAAGATCTAAATGACTGAAGCACAGAGAATAGAAAACACGAAGAAACATCATGAGATAAACATTCATCTCCCAAATCTTCATTGATACTAATCTTTCTGCAGAGTTAAATTTCCTTAAAAGATTTTTGCTGTTCTAATCTCACTCCACCAAAGATGGGTAGGTCTTAGCATTATTTCCTTATGAACAAAGCAGTATTCAGTGAGCCTTTTATATTATGAAAGGCACTGAACTGCACTATAGACAATTTAAGAATTGATGTTTTAAATACAGTTAGATGTTCCTGCATCATCTTTAAAGATGACCTCTCCACAATCCCTTCCCAATATAATTTTCCTACCATTGTCCCCAAGACATTTATTCATCACACCAAGGCCCTACTTTTGCGTTTATAGGTTACTTACAACTTCCATGTCATTGCACTAGAACTAAGACACACATACCACAAAACAAACTTAAGTATCATAGCTGTGAATTTCCAGCACCTGACACAGCAATCCATATTTAATGGTTACATAAGGGATGATTTGTTAAACTCAAATAAGTTTGGGGGAATGAGAATAAGGTATATTTAAAATCAAAATGGTCTTCTTCATCTCAGTCTTGGACCTCATTACATTATATGTCAGTACTAAATTACAAACTCGGTACAGTTTGTCGGTTCAATATTGTTTTACGAGTCAAGGTGAGGATAACTGTACTAACAGTACAATACAGTGCAAAAACAATCCAGGCAGGAAATTCTGATCAAATGCGCACCAATATTTCACCACTGTCACAGAAGCATATTAAACCTTAAAACAAGGAGGGTCTTGCCGTCTCCACGCGAAGCAGAAAGGCCTCAAAAGCCTGCTTCATCAGTATCCCAAAACGCAAGTGCGATAATCCCTTCTCTGAACTTTCATTTCTCAGCCCTCTCAGATTTCTTTCCTGCATCGCAGTCCCATGCAGGTTTCCTGCTCTCAAATTCTCCAGCGCTTAATTACGAAAAGTATTTCCCAGTCATTTTTTTTTTTTTTCTCCTCCCTCATGCCTCCTCAGGCGCTTCCTCCTCCTCCATCCCCCAAGCCCGGCCTACCCCAGCCTCTAGTAGGCCTCAACCCTCATCCATTCCGCCATTGTTATTTACATCGTCGTCTGGGGAAGCTGAACGCTTCACCCCGTGCGGGTGAGACTCCCTGGCAGCGCTCATCGTTGCTGGGATCCCGGCAGGAAATGCAGAACAAGCTCGCTGTTCTCCTCAGGCCAGACACCAGCAGCCACTAGCCCCGGCAACGCCGCTCCAGAACGCAGAGCCCCTCGGGCCTTCTCCGCCACAGTCGTCACCGCGGCGGCCGCTAGCCCGCCTCTCGGAGCATTCTGGGAGTTGTAGTTTTTCTTGGCTCTTCACATCGGCCCGAATAAGGCTACGTGGGTGAAAAAAAACTACAATTACTAGCAGGCTTAACGGCGCGGCTCGCGTTGAGCGGCGGGAGTGCTCTCAGAGGCCCCACCTTCCGCTAGTAGGGCCAGTTTTACCGCGGGCTGGTAAGGCGGCGGACGGTAGTATGGCAAGGTTCGTCGCCACTGGAGGAGGCTTTGAGTATTTTTCACGTTTTCCTGTGAGACTGCACCACTAGCAAATGCACCTGTCGTAGTTAAATACTTAGGTTTAATGTAATGTTTGAGGCATACTCAATATCCAAAAACATTTTAAGAAATGGCTTCTGTTCTTACCCTGGTGTGTATGCTCTAGTATCCGTAGATTTCTAGAAAATTCTGATGAATATTTTTTTATTTTCCCGTAGCGAAGTGAGTTCAGTACAGTAGTTCATAGTTACTTGGACGTTCCTGAAACTAGGGTCTGCCTGAAAGCCTTCTGGACCGCTTTCCACGGGGCTCTGTAGTGAGGTAGGAGCATGCCTCGCCAGTGAGGCTGCTGGTGGACAGGCCTTGTACTGTTGGCCTTCGTTGGGTGAAGTTCATTTCTGCTAGAAGGTCCGGCATATATATATATTTAAAACCCCCCCCCCCCCCCGCAACTGGGGATTGAACTCAGGTCCTTGCGCTTGCTAGGCAAGCGCTTATTCTACTGAACTATCTCCCCAGCCCCCTAAAAACATTTTTTTCCATAACATTAAGCATGTTAAAGTGCACAGTGGCATTTGGCACATTCACTACCTTCTGCAGCTCTTTATCTTTTAGTTACAAGACCTCATCTCCAAAGAAACACCAGTGCCTATTTCCAGCCCTTCCCCAGTGTCCACCCCCTGCAGCCTGGCAATTGTTAACCTACTCCAAAAAGCATGAAGGTATTGCTCTGATACTGGAGATTGACTCCTAGTTTTACAATGTGCCTTTTTGCGGGGATGGTGGTACTAGGATTGAACTCTAGGGCTTCATACATGTTAGGCAAGTGTTCTGCTACTTCCCATCCCTGTGCCTGAGTTAGTAACCAGGCCTGTACAGGCCTGTACGAAATGGTCTTTTCTTTACTCTGAAGCTTTCTGACATTCATTTAAATAGTCTTTGCTTTCGTTTGTTTTAGAATAAGAATTAGTAACTGGTGGCAGTACTCTTTTTTTTCAGTATGGAAGATCAAACCTATTTTATTATTTTAGTTTTTTTTTTTTAACCTTTTTTTTTTCCTCCCAGTACTGGGGATTGAACTCAGGACTTTGCACTTGCCAGGAAGCACTTATTCTACTAAGCTATTTCCCTGGACCTTGTTTTTTTTTTTTTTTAGGCAGGGTCTCACTGTATGTTACAGGCTGGCCTTGAACTTGCTTGTGTGGCCCAGGCTGGACTTGTGATCCTCCTGCCTCAGCCTCCTGAGTTCTTGGTTCACTTGTGTGTGCCACCACACCTGGCCTTTTTTTAATTAAAATTTTTATTTTTACATTTTTTATTTTTTTAGATAGGATCTTACTAAATTGTCCAGGTCTCCCATTTATGATCCCTCCAATTATACATCAACCTGCTAAGTACCTGGGATTATAAAGCCCCCATTTTATGCTGAAAGTACTATACATTATTTGGGGTGAATTTCCATGTTGAGGGCAGTCTGTGAAACAATACTTTAGAACTCAGCAGTTATTCTAGTTTGACTGTGTACAAGTACTACTATTTCCCAGAATTTCAGATGGTTACTGAACTATGTATAGAATTATACCTACCTCTTAATTTTTTATTTTTATTTTTTGCAGTACCAGGGATTGAACTCAGGACCTTGCACTTTACCAGGCAGGTGCTTATGCTGTTGAACTATATCTTCGGCCTTGTACCTAGCTCTTTAATTTATGTAGTCATAGACCTAAATTCTTTTCCTTTATTTTGGAAGCAGAAAAAATAGCATAATAAATAGGATAATATGACAAATATCTTAATATAAGACCATATTTTTATTTTAATTTTTTTTGTGTGTAGGGTCTCACATAGCTCTGACTCATAGTGATCCTCCTGATTTCTGCCTCCCTAGTGCTGGGATTACAGGCACACACCTCCATGCCCAGACTCCATCGCCAGCACAAGGGTGGGGCCAGCTCGGCATGCAGAGCCAGGGATCAAACGCTGCCCCCTAGGCTTACCTAAGGAAGCACTTACTCTGCTGAGCTATACCATTGGCCCCAAGACCATATTTTTAAAGTATTAGTAAGCAAAGGACACTTTAATCTTATTTATGTGGTAAGAATAAGCCATAAAGTAGTAAACTCATAAAAAGAAAAAAAAAAAAACACTTTTGGGAAGTAGTTGCTCATTTTGCTAGAATTAAAATATTTTGCCTCTTTATATTTCTACTAAGGTTCTATAAATGTAATTATAGTGATACTATATTTAAATTACAGAATTTTATAGAGTGGATTACAGTCCATCTCCATACAGAGCCTGACAGACTGTAATATGTGCAATTTAGAATTCTCAGCTATGGTAGCAATAAAACGTGATGGCTGGATAGCTACTTTAGAGTGTTAAAAGAATCCTGAAATAAAAAAAAAATACTATCAGGGCTTATAGTTACTAAGAGTTTAATGTGCTAGCAACGTGTCTTTTATTTCTTCACCAGAATTGTTGGCATGTGGATGACTATCTTCAAGTTACCATAAAACAAAGTCTCAAGCCAAAAAGTAACACAGGAAATAATACAGACTGGATCATTTGATCAGACTTTACTCAGTTTCATGTTCAGAAGGCTATAGGTAAGGATGAAATTATGATAGAGTAGAATTATAGTATAATAGAAATGTATGACACAGAAATGCGGCAGTGCTCTTTTCTAAAAACAAAGATATTCTGTCACAGTAGGACTAATAAGTATATTAGGATTGAGATCATTCATTCATTTCATTTCTGTATTTTATAGCAGAGCACCAGCTACAGAATAGCTGGTGAATAGCTGGTGAAGTCTGTAGTACCTTGAATATTTTCCAACAAACTTTGAATATATATATTATACATATAATACATATATAATATATATAATATATATATATTATATATATATAAAAAAACTTTACTAAACAGTTCTAGAGGGTCCCTAAGAAAGTGATGTCATGTTTTCTGCCTTCAAAGAGTTTAAGATTTAATTGTAACAGTTTAAATTCAGTTTACCCTGGCAAGCGCAAGGTTTGAGTTCTGCCAAAAAATTAAAAATACAAAATAAATAAATAAATTCAGTTTACCACTTAGCAAAATATTCCAGGAAAATTTGTCAAATACGTGGAAATGGGAAAAAGTGATTACCAAGTTATTTTTCAGGGGGACGTTGATTTCTTTTGACCCTCTAGGAATTATTTGATACTAAATGAGTGTACACACACACACACACACACACACACACACACACACACACACACTTTTTTTGCAGAACTGGGGATTGAACTGAGGCCCTTGTGCTTGCCAGGCAAGCTTATTCTACTGAGCCATCTTCCCGGCCCCCTGTACATGTATATTTTATTTTATTTTGTGGAACCAGGGATTGAACTCAGACCCTTGAGCTTGCCAGGGAAGCGCTTATTCTACTGAGCCATCTTCCCAGCCCCTGTACACATATATTTTAAAAAGTATAGTATGTTGTTATTTACAACCATTGTACTATGCAGTTGTATACCAGTCCCCTCTTTTCTGTGGCACTGGAGATTAGCCCCAAAGCTTTCACATTGAGTTACATCCATAGCCCACCCCACCCCTTTTATCCTTTTTTAAAAATTTGAGATAGAGTCTAAGTCATGAAATTGCTCCAGCTGGGCTCAGACTTGCAATTTTCCCAGAGTGTTGGGATTATAGGTTTGTGCCATGACACCTGGCTCAGAACTTTTTACTTTTACCTAACTTTAATTTAGTGTCGTTTATGAGCCTTTCTCCATATCCCTCACCCCTATTCTTCCCAGTCTCTGGTAACCACCATTCTTTTCTGAATTCCTTTGAGATTATTTTTTAAAATATTCTATACAAGAGTGAACTCATGTGGCACTTGTCTTTCTGTGCCAGTGTGATTTCACTTTAACATAATGCTCTCAAGTTCCAACCATGTTGGCACAAAAGACAGGATTTTATTCCTTTCTGATGATTGAATAGCATTCCCTTCTGTATGTAGTGGACAGTAGGTACCACATTATTCATTGTTCATGGATGCTTAGGTTGTTTCCTTCTTGACTTACAAATAATGGTGTGATAACTGTGCAGACAAATCTTTTTTTTTTTTTTTTGTGAAACTGGGGATTGAACTCAGGTCCTTGTGCTTGCCAGGAAAGTGCTTATTCCACTGAGCCATCTCCCCAGCCCCAAGACAAATCTTTGATGTACTGATTTAATTCCTCTTGGCTATATACTTAGTTGGACAATTACTGGATCATATGTTAGTTCTAGTTTTAGCTTTTTGAGGAACCTCTGTACTGGTTTCCTAATGCCCATCAGCCTGTCTTTGTATCCTTCACACCCCTGGTAATCATGACTTCTTGCTAATAGTCACCTTTACAGAAACGAAGTGATGTCTCACTGTGGTTTTGATTTGCATTTCCCTGGTGATCAGTGATGTTGAACATTTTTTCATATACCTGTTAGCTGTTTGAATGCCTTCTCTGAGACATGCCTACTAAGGAAATTGCTCATTTTAAAATTAGTTAATTTTTTTTTTTTTGAGACATGGTCTTGCTATGTGGTTCTGGCTGACCTGGACTGCCTTCAAATATATACCAGGCTGCCTTCAAACTTGCAGCTATCTTCCTGCTTCAGCCTTCCGAGTGCTAGAGTTACAGGAGTGTGCCACCATACCTGACTCTAACCAGTTTTTAAATTTTTTTTCTCCTGAGTTTTTATTTATTTATTTATTTATTTATTTATTTATTTGCGG